TTTTTGTGGGAATATATATGTGTTTGTTTTTCGCCCCCCGTCTTGCTGCACCCCCTGGGGTGTGGTGCAGGGCTGGACTAACCCTCCGGCATTGTAGGCGGGTGTGGGAAGCGTTCCCCGTTCTCCTTTTATTTTATTTTGATCGGTCTCCTCGACGCTCTTTCTCGTTTGGTGCGGTAGCTGGTCTTTCTTTCTATCATTTTGTTTCTCTTCCGAGTGGTTTTTGTACCCTATTTTTTTCTGTTTCTTCGTGGGGTCGTGTATGCCGGGTNTCTTCCGAGTGGTTTTTGTACCCTATTTTTTTCTGTTTCTTCGTGGGGTCGTGTATGCCGGGTTTTGAGACCACGGGCTCCCAATCTTTCTTTTTTAGAGCTAATGTGAGAAACAACAACAACAACAACAACAACAACAACAACACAGCAGCCCACGCTTGCCACAACCTTCTTCGCCCTCCCCTTCCGTCTCTCTCCTTCGTGCGCCAACTTATACTCCTACTGCGATGTCTCACCGCGCTGTTTCCCGAACGATCTCTGCGTCACCTTTCAGCGCCGTCAATGTCAACAGCCATCAACTCAGAGGTAGGACGGCCAAGGCCGCGGCATCCCGTACACCCAGCAAGGAGCCGGTGGAAAAGACCAAGGGCGCGGGCCGACGCAAGTCGGTCTCGAAGAGGAGGAAGGTTCTGCGGTCTAAAAACCCACCGATGGTAGGTTGAGAGTTCGCCTGCGCTTGCTTACTTGACCACGCGAGTTGTGTTTCTACCCTTGCGTGCAGCATGCTAGAAAGAAAAGCTTGTTCATCTCTTCAAGAGTCTAGAATGCATATGCCATACTAATACAGAGATAAAAGTAGGATCGAATCATGTATCCGATGCATAGCTGCAGCAAGTAAATTTCCTGCCGCAGCAAGTGCAGGCTTGAGCAGTGCGCCGTCGTGTTGGCGCACATGATATTATGAGAATCGCCGTGCCCGAAAGTCGTGATCACCAATGTAAGGTCTTGAGCACCTCTTTCGTCGTGTAGTCCACATCCACCGGTTAAAATTCGATGTTGTGTAAAGGCGCGCGAACGTTGCATTTGTCTCCAATGTGTACTTCATTTGGTAGTCGAAATTCCTCAGACTCCGTTCTGACCGCGACGCGAGTTTTTCTTCCTCCCTATATTGTAGCAATACTCTGAAGACAGAGACAAACAGTAATGCGTTCCCCAAACAAAAGTAATGAACTATGATTTCGGTTGCAACGCACGAACGTTTGTGTTGGCCCCAATGTTGCCTTTGAGTATTTGTTATGCCGGTTATGGGTGTGTGGAACATATGTATGTGGACCAGACATTGTAGGTACTCCCAACACAACGTTTGACGAGAAGAGTCGGAGTAAGACCCCCGAGACAGATACGTACGGGACACACAAAAACAGAGCAGATGCGTGATGAATGGAAGCGGTTGTTCCGTGTATCCGACTCATACTTGTATAGTCTGGACGTTCCCCGGTTGTACCCGCCGCGGTTTACGGAAGCACAATGATGAACGGTGTACGATGAGGGCCTTTCGACAACAAAAATGGCGCGATTTGAGCTCGTTGCCGCTGCAACCGCCCTCTCTATCCGTTCTCGATGAACTCCGCATTGCAAGTCGTCGGATATGTCACCTTTTTTTGGAGCACCCTCTATTGGTCGTCGGTCGGTTGTTAAACAAACAGATTTCTATTTGAAGCGCAACACGTGAAAAACTTGTACACAGAGACAGTAATGCCCGAGACAATTCTGTTCGAATAATGTTGGTAACAACCTCCGTGCACACCCTATCCCTACGTGCCGCCACCCACTCCGTACTTTGACGGCAGGACTCATGGACGGGGATGCCGACTCTGTCCTATTGCTGTTGCAAGGTGTTCTCCTGCACCAGCGTTTATGTCACCACCTACCCGTCGCTCCCCCGGTTCGTCGATAGTGTGTTGGAGGAGTACTGAGTTTCACGTAGTTGCGCTGTACCGATCAGAAGTGAAACACCAACTGCCGCAAAAAGCTCCGCGCGGCAGCTCCATACGTGTCCCGGGGCCACTCCGGCGTTCAAGTAACCGCTCGCCCGGTGCTATTCTAGCCCGCGGTCCGAGAGTGTTGTGGGCGAGGAATATCCTCACAGTGCTGCTCCCTGCCGCCCTCTCTCCGTGACCACAGCGGTCATCATCAAGGCCGTCGTTGCGGCCCGCGGTGATGTGCGCGGCGCCCTCGTGGACTTTTTGATCCCTATGATCGAAGAGGAGGCGGCCACGAACACCCCGCGGACCGCCGCCGACCTCTTGCGTGGGGTCCGCGAGCAGGTCGCGGACATCGACCCCGCTGCCGAGGTACACATGCCTGACAATCATAACTTGTACGTAGAACTCCAACGTAGATATGCCACTTCGTAGAATCGTGCCGGCCTAGTCACGACATGCTTCCGCCCACATTTTTCGTGCCACTCTCACATCGTAAGGAAAGACCATGTGACAATGTTTTAAAAGACCAACGTACGCGAATTCTTGTCTACAACTCACCTTATCGATTGCACAACGTTCCCGTTAACCACTACGATCAGATACTTCGTGTGATATATTGGAACCTCTTCGCCCTGTTCTGCTCCAATGTTGCAGGCAATTAATACCTTGCTTCACCGCGTCATGTGGCGCTACACCAAGGCCCACATGCAGTCGACACGCGAGGACCTGTCCGAGGGGCAACTGGTCGGCGAGGACCGGCTTCACGAGGACTTCCTCGCGCAGGTGACTATTGTTCACGTCTGGTCTGCCGTCTCACACTTCGGCGCTTGTGCCGGGGCATCCTTCCGGAACTACGGTATGCCACCCCACTCACGTTGTAAGAGAAAGTTCCAGCGGGCAGCAGGTCAATGTAGAGACATGAACATCTAACTGAACTCCTCAGCATGTACGAGCATGTACGAAAGCTCCGATTGCATCGCAGGTAGTATCCGTAGGAAGCAGCAGCACGGTACACGCACTGCAAGGTTACATGTTTCCAGATGCATGCACTCGTCAGTAGCACCGCACCGTTCGGTAGAACAACTTGACTCCGTCTGTCACCACGCCGCAAAATGACTACGATGTTGCGCAGACGACCTATACCCCCCTGCCTGCTCGCGTCATGTTACACACCAGGTGGTCACGCCGGCGCTGNGTTGCCGGGCGGATTTATTGCAATTCTGACTTGTGGTGGAATGAGCTTTTTCTGGTTGAGCATGAAGCCAAGAACCGCGTACCCGTCTTTTTTTTCTGGCCGACGTTGGCCAAATCGGGGTGTGGGATTCTCCATTGGGAGTCGTACGGTAGTTCTTGATTTTTCTCGCAATACGTAGGCTGGAGTCGTCAACAACTTTGTGCGCGTCAAGAGTCAGCGGTCCTGCTGGTTTGGTTTGAAGGAGAAGGTAACATGTGCGTGACATAAAGCATGCTGTGAGTGCCCCCCCCCCCCCCCCCCCCCCCCCCCCCCCCCCCCCCCCCCCCCCCCCCCCCCCCCCCCCCC